GGTATTTCCAGCACAGTTTTCCCACAGCTGAAGAGCAGTGCGCCTCCCTGAAGGGCTCCTGAGAAGCCTCGACAGATCCATCATTCCTTAACTAGCTGCTGCCAAACAGACCTTGGGCTGGGCCGTGGCACCGAGGCAGTGCCTGCCAAGTGCCCCAGGACCCTGGGTTCAATCCCCAGAAGGTTGGGGGGTGGGGGCGTGGCTCACAATGACAGAGGCCGGAGGCCAACCTGGAGCAGCAAGTCTCTCCGTCCTGCAGGGGAGCCTGGTTTTCTGGTATGGAGATGGCCCCAGGTTGCAGGAGGAGGGGGGTTTCACAGTTTCCAACGAGGGCGAATTACTCACTGGAGACTGCGGGCAGAGCTGTTGGGACACACGGGGACCTAGTTGTGCTGGTTGAAATTTGAACTCGGGAAGGCAGGGTAGGAAGTCACGGGAAGAGCTCACAACTCGGAATCCACTGCTCACCTCCCTTCCTCTGCGACCTGGAGCCTCACTCTGTGCTCCTCTCCTTCCAGGGACCATCTGCCATGGGGAAGGTCAAGGCCCGGGGTTCAGTACTGCCCCCCTCTTCAGGCCCCATTGGGTGGAGAGGCTGGGCATAGGCGGGAGGGCGGAGGTCGGCTCTCCCCTGAGGGCCGGCGTTAAGGTTGGGCAGCGTTTTCCCAGGGAGCGGCCTTGTGGAAGGTCATTTTCCAGAGCCTTCCCAGGGGAGCAGGCAGAGTCCTCTGGCCTAGTCCCGCTCACCCCCCAGCGCCCTTCCCCGCTCCCCTCTTGTAGCGCAGCTCAGAGGACACAGCCTCCCGCTGCCCAATGTCAAGGGCCTCTCCTTCAACCAGGCCCACATGGACCTCTCCGAGGTAGGTGCAGAGGGAGCCCTTTGCAGGGGAGGTGGGGGTCAGAGGCTCCCGCTCACCCGCAGAGGCGGAGGCTCAGTTGGAGGATGCGCCTGCGTGGGCCCAGCCCTTTGCCTCCCTTTCCTTAACCACCTGTCACAGCTGTCCTGGACGCTAGGCCCCATTACAGATGAGGAGACCGAGGTTCCTCAGGCCTACAGAGTCCTTCAGGAAGCCAGACCACAGGGCTGAAGAGCTCAACGCCTTCCACACATGCAGGACTCTCACAATCAGCTCCACAAAGTCATTTTTATCTCGGAGGGAACTAAAGGCTCAGAGAGGCAGAGAAAATGAGAAAACTTGCCCAGCACAGCAGAGCTGGAGTCCAAGGGGCTCATCTGAACTCACCTATTGTTACCTTAGCCTGGACTACCCACCTCCCTAGAACTCAGGTGCCCCCAGAACAGGGCTATAGTTTACATGACGAGTGCCACCAGGAGTTGAGGAGTGCACAACCTACACATCCTTGCATGGCAGGCCTGACCACCCCTCATTCCTTCATTGCCATTCACTCATTCAGTCAATGTATCTCAGGAAAAGCCCCCAAGTCTGGTCTGTTCCTTGCTCGCAAGCATCTCTGAGACTCCTTCTCCTCTGCTCAATCCTCTTTGTCCACCTGGTCTCTGACTCTTTCTTCTTGGAGTGTTCTTGGGACAGGGTGCAGTTCCTCTCTAGAACAGCCTCAGGGAGAGTGGGTTTTATGGGCATCGAGGATGAATGGGGAGTGCAACTCTGTTTCTGTTCACAGGACTACCTGCTGCTGACCATTCCAGAGTAGCCGGTTCTGACCCAGGACCAGTCCCCGCCCTCAACCACGCATGCTCAGGACCTCCAGGTCAAGAACGGCTGAATCACCGTGGACTTCTCTCTACAATAAAGATGCTTCCTGCTGGAGGAGGAGTCTGCTCCGTAGTCGCTGACCTACAGGGTTCTGGGAGGCGGGGGCTGTGTCCAGCTATTTAAATGAAGCCCGTGGTCCTGGCTCCTGGGGCCTGGGGCGGGGGGGAGGGGTCTGAGCTCTGTTCTCAGCTCTTCAAGAAAAGGGAGTTTCCTCCAAAAACGAAGAAAAGCCTGTGAGTTTCCAAAGCCCAGGCCCTGAGCGGATGGGGTGACCGTGGTGCAGGACGGGTATGCCATGACCATGTGCCAAGAGACGCCAAGTGGCCCAGGCAGAAGGTGGCAGGCAGGGAAAGGCAGGGCAGGGGCTGGTGCAGCGGGAAGCCTGGGGCCCGCAGGGCAGAGCAGACACAGCACAGGTCCTCACACCCGCCACCTGTCACACCCACAGTAAGGACACAGCTCCCTGAAGGTCTTGGGTTCGAGGGTGACTCTGCAGCCATGGTGCGCCCAAGGGAGCCTGGGAGCCCCTCCCCAGGGCAGCCCCACCCACCCAGGTCACACCCAGCATCCGCCCAGCACCTGGGGATGCCCACTACACCAGAGGGCTACTGGAGACCCTGTGTCCCCTTTCACCAGTGTTAAGGGTCAGCTTGCTAAGCAATGTGTGTGTCCCCATCAGCTTTGCTTCAGGTGACACCTTGGGCACAAGGGTCACAGTGGTTGCCTGTGTGTTTGGGGTCCTAAGTGTCCGATGGCTGACGTTTTGACATGAAGGGCCACTAGCTGAAAGTGTGTCTTTGAAGAGTCACGAAGTACGACTGCCTGTGTGTGGACTCCTAAGCGTGGACCCGGCTTCTCCACTTTTCCTCACCTCCGACGGCCCTTCCCACCCGCTGACCATCTGCCTGTTCCCCGTAAACGCCGAGAGCCCAGGCCAGGGGGCAGATTTGAGGCTTGGTCTTCCAGCTCGTCTATTTGCCCGCCTCGAGGATGATGCACTTTTTGCAAAACTCGCAGTTTCAGCACCCAGCTTGCTGCAGGCCTAGTTCAGTCAGGGTCACAAAATGGCCCATGGAGGTGGCCTCATGGCCTTGAAGGCCTCCAGTGACTTTATCAGGCCCCTCCCTTCACAGCTTGCAGGCAGCCTCTTCCATCTTCAGAGAGCACTGAGGTGCCAGGGGGCATGGGGGCTGGTCGCCACTCCCAGGCGGGCAGGCCCACCCTGAGAGTTCTGGAAAATAATATTCCTACAAAACAATGCGGCAGTGAATCCAATGTTTCCAGTAACCGTGGGCCCTGAAGGCAGGAGGCAGGTACTGAATGTTAGGCGCTGGGCTTTGGCCTTCCCCCATCGCAAATTAGTGCTAAACGGACACACAGCCATACTGGACATGGCCGGGAGGAGGGGAATAAATGGGGCTCCCACTCCCACCTTTCGCAGCTGCCCTCGGAGTTGAAGTTCTGACCTACACAACCAGCCCGGGTGTCCCACGAGTGCCAAGGAGGAAACCAGCCTAACTGCATCCTATAGGGCCAGACCCCTCCATAACCAAGGCCATTTCCACACCCAGGGGACGAGCCCCCACGTCCTCTCCCAGCCCAGCCTCGCTACTCAGCAGGGAGCAAAGGGCCAATCTGTGCCCCTACCTCTCCCTCTTGCACTCTGTTGGCCCAGCATCTCTCCTGCCCTCACCGGTGAAGGTCGCCTTAAGGAAATCACCTCTGAAGAAGTGGCTTTCAGGGCTGGGGCTGGGGCTCGGTGGCAGAGCACTTACCTAACATGTGTGAGGCACCCGGTTCGACCCTCAGCACCAACTATAAATAAATAAAAAATAAAGGTACTAAAAAATATTTTTAAAAAAAAGAAAGAAGCAGCTTTCAAACTTTTCAAGGCTCATGATCCATTTCTTCACATAAAACCTTACACAGCAAAGCAACGCGTACGGCCGGCCACAGCAGCGCTTCTGTGGCCTCGGTGAGGCTGGGGAGGCTGCCCGGCCAAGGCCCACCTTCCACGGCCCCTCTGGGGAGCCTCCGCGCTCGCTCTGAGTGGAGATCAGGCCTAGGCCCGAGCCCTCAAGAACCCCCAGGGCCAAAGGCACACGGGACGGGTACACTGACAGCCGGGGTAATAACTAAGAGTTTGGGGGGCTGGGAAACAGGGGCCTCGAGCAGAGAGCGCAGAGCCACGCGCCTCCCCGGCCAGCACCAGGCAGCCACTCCCCAGCCAGGGCTGCAGGCCCCAAATCCCAAAGGCCATCACTCCTCCACACCTTGGCCAGCAGCCCACCAGCTGTCACAATGTCACACTGGACAAGGGCTCCCCGCCTCTCACAGGTGACTCTACGCGCCTTCTCCCCGTCTCTCTGCTCCCACCAGGCCCACACCCCACCAGAGTGAGTTTTCAGAA